TTACGTTTATGTGGTTCATCTCTCAATTTTAACCATTCTTTTTGTTCCTTTTCATCGAAAAGATATTCTGGAGGTGGATTGTAAGATTCAGCATGTCCAGGTAAATCACGTTTCGGTGCAGAAACTGGGTCATGTATGCGACGCATATGCTCACGACCAGTATCAGTTTCCCATAACATATAGAATTTAGGACCACGTTTCGCTTGTTTTTCACGTTCTACTTCCTCAGTAGTTTTCATCCAACCCATTTTTAGAGCATGCACCATGCGTGAAACTTTTTTCTTCTCTGATACAGATGGCAAAAACGAACGTTTGTGATCGGGCACATTTTTAATAGGCATACGTTCCACTTCAGACGTAAACCACTCGATCCAAGGTTCATATTCATTGTGTTCTGGATTTGGTACACGTGCTGAATTGATACGCTTTATCAGGTCAATATCAGCATCTGTAAGCAACACCTCTTGTCCAGTTTGTGGATCTTTGACAGTGCGCCAAAAGTTTGGATCTTCAATTTTACGTAAGAAGTCATCAATTTGATCACCTTTTGGCGGTTTCACTATTTTCCTGCCATCCCAGTCATAACCGATGTGTTTGTACTCATCATACCAATGCATTGGTATATTACCTACAGTGTTGCGTATATCTTCTTCATCAGAGGTATCTGAATTCTCATATTCTGGTAATATTCGTTGAACTATTGGAGGCAATTGCGAAGTTGTTGTAGTGCCAATGGTTGTCTCACTGCTCACAATGGTCTCACTGCTTTCAATTTCTGTGCTATTACTCGTTGATGGATGATTAGCATTTTTAACAGCTTTAATTTTCTTCTTCTTTTGCTGTTTTTGTTGCTGCTGTTTTTCTTTCTGTTTTAAATTGCTTTTTTCTTTCTTAGGTGCAGCAACAGGTTCATCATTATCACTATCCGCATCAGCAGCTGATTTTAGTTCATTTAAATTATTATCACTTTCATTAGAGTCTTCTTCATTTATTGCTGAACTGTTGTCTTCATCTTCTTCTGTATTATTGTCATCACTGGAAACGTCTTCAATATCTGCCTCATCGATATCATCCTCACTAGAGGATTCTTCTTGCTCCTCTGTTTTGTTTTTTGACATATAATTACCTTCATCATCACTTTCAAATTCTAACTCGTCACTATCATCGGAATTATAGTTTTGTTCGATACCCTCATCATCTGAACTATCTGCATCCATATTTTCAAATTTTTGCAATAAATCCTATAATATTTTATATTTTAATATATGAAAATAATTTCCTAAATGCAAAAATTAACTTACATCTTCGCTTGCGTTTTCATCTTCTGACTGTATTTGCTCTGTTTTATTTGACTCTTTTAAATTTGTATTATCAGCATTTCCTTTTCTTTTCGCAGCCTTTTTTGCCATAATAACTTTAATTATATAGTTATTTATAAATAATTCAACTTTCCGCTAAAATCGCAATGCACGTGTATTTAAACAACAAATGATTGTGATTGCCTTAGTGCTGCCAAGTTTCGGTAGAGATGTGGAGAAAAAATGTAGTAGAAAGATATTTACTACATATTTTTCTGAGTTCATATATTATAACGGGGGGAGTCTGCTGTGTTTAAAAAGAGGGAAACAAAAAAATAAAATTTTATAGATATTACATATATACACACATATTTGTAAATAATGGTATTGAACATAATTGTTTTTAAGTACATATTTTTTTGCCGAACTTGAGGCAGTTTTTTCTTTTCTTAAATACTTTAAAAAATTTCAAAAATATGTAAATAAATTGCTATCGACCATAATTGAATGGGAACTCTGTAATTAAATAACTAGATTTGTACCTTAACTTCCACTACGTTTATATTGTGAGATTAAGAAAACGAGATTGAATTAATCTGCATTTTTAATCTTCACCGTCTACATTATACATTGGAGATTAATTTTGACGTTCCTCTTATTGTGTTTTGGTTCGTGTGTTTGATAAATTTTTGTAAATAAAGCATTTAATTACAATTTTGTATATAATATATTTATATATATTTGTATATATTATATATATATTTATTATATATATTTAAATATATATTTATATATATATAATAAATAGTTTTATTACAATAATTTAACAAATTTTAGTTATATTTATGTATAAACCTACTATTAAACAAATTTTCAATGTTTGTTTTAAATAAATTTTGACATTTCTCTTTAAGATGGCAAAAAAATCTACGATATTAAGACATTTCTTCTAAGATCGTAAAAATATCTACGGCATTAAAATATTTGCAAAATTGCACAGAGAAATAATCACCATTTCGAAGGAGATTTAAAATTAATCTCGACCAAAAGGAGATTAATTTTTGTATGCGAAATCTGCGGTTAAACAATGAGGTTAGTACTTTAATATTGATTTTTGCTTTAATCTACTTTTAATCACACAATGTAAACATGGTATAAGTATTTTAAAAAAGCAAATACTTGATTTTAAAGTTATTTGCGATTTTTAAAATTATGTTAACTGTGTCGGTAACAATTTTCGAAATCTCTTAATGTGGAAAGTGCATTCATTAAATTGTTACAATACTATTGCAATTGCCGATTGCAAGGATCATGATCTTATTAATCTTGTAATGATAAACAATTCGAGTGATGAGGATATCGATACATTCTGAAAAGAACTTTTATTATTATTACTCTTATATAATTTGCATTTAAAAGTACAATTTGATAAATTTTTACGTGAATATATTTACAAAAATAATATTGTTACTTAAAACTAGTTGTGTATTAGTTGTATATTAGTACATAGACTGTTTAAATTTTCCTAGTATTATGAAATAGTTTCCCTCGTTACAAAGTTAAATAAAATTATTGCGTTAGGCAACCCTGGTGGAGCAGTCAAGCAGCTGATGTAGTTTGGAATAGTTATTTTTTTAAAATTTTGTAACTGAAAATATCAAATTGTACATGGAAAATTAAATTTAAATAAATTTAATTCAATTTAAGTACATATTAATTCATTTTCAAGTAAAGTAGATATAAAAGTATACGGTTAGTGAAAAATAAAAAACTATTCAAAATGGCTTCCATTGCCAGTGAAGTATAATAGTTTACGGTACCAATTATTAAAGAAAATATTGGTTATTATTTATAACATTATATATAATTTTTTAATATCATATAAGTAAAACAAAAACTTGCGAAACAAAATTCAGAACAAAATTGTGAATTTAATATAAATTAAAGAATACCTTTGGCATATCCCTCAACAAATAACGGTTTTACGTATAAAACATAGGGAAATTTTAACGCTGCAGCAGCAAAAAAATTCAAAATATGTGTTTATATATTGATTTTAAAACCGAATTATCTGAAACTATGATCTATCTGAAATAATACATCTATGTTTTCAAAGAATTTTATAAATATCTTTGTATTCTCTTGAAATAGAAGAGTGAAGTAGTGGTGGAAAAAATATGTAGTAATTTTAATAAATAAAATAAACAGTTCTCTAAAATAATGTTACTAATTTAATGATTTATTAAGTCTCAACACATTAAAAGCAAAAGTAAATGATTCCACACTCTTCGTCAATTAATTATTATATCGTCATACCATATGAAGAAAATAATAATGATTAGTCCCTTCACAAAGGTAAGTAAAGCAAATGTTTAATTTTTTCTTCTAAAATATATCATATATATATAAAAACTATTTATAGATCAAATTTGAAATTACTATTTCCATATATCTCCATATAAATGTTTTTTTCGATCTTCAAGTTGATTTTTTCTCACACACTTAATCTATGATATTACACCATGCTTCCACTTCTTTCATTTAGGTAGTTTTGGTAATTAAAACCGCTAATGAAGATCATTTGCCATAGAAATAACCTTCACATAAATAAGGTCATTATAAATAAATTAACCGATTTACCACACAAACAGCCTTTACATAACTAAGCTCATTATAAATAAATTAACTGATTTAAGGCGAAAAATGTTGAATGCAACTCTTAAAAAAAAAATTTCCTACAAGGAAAATTACCAAAATTAGAAATATTTGTCATATATTTTATATTTAAAATGTAAACAATCAAACTATTTCACAAGCATAAATCACCTTATGTCAATGGAAACAAACAAATCTTAATTTAATTAACATAGGTAGTTTTAACAGTGGAAATATAATATATCCAACCTGCCTTGGAAGTTTAATATATGCTTTTTAGTTCCTGAGTTTTTAGAGTTAACACTAACACTATATTTTGTTAAACGTAGTGTTTCCAAAAATGTATGGTATATGTACTTTGTATACAATATTTTCAGATAACTCTACTGCACAATTAATTCCATTTTTTATAATTACAATATTTGAATTTGTTTTTAACTGTATTTAAAAACATGAAAAATATAAATTTCACTAGCTGTCTCACTGTTTGTCTATAAATCTTAACTAGTTTAATAAACTTAATAATTCAGTAAAACGGAGTTTACATTTTCTTTTTATTTACTTACGAATATGTGAATTAAAATACTTGGATGATAGATAGTAGATTGAAGTAGCAGTCCATTTCGTAGAAAAGTTGCAACTCATTAAAGCCCTAAAAGCAGGTGCATTATTTTACCACATAATGGGCAGACTTTTGACGAAAGAAGACACTTTCTTCTGGTTTTCTAATTATTGCAAGGCCAGGACAAAGTAGATGAGTACAATTTTCTTCTTCTTGAGACAGTGCCCCGATAGTACTGGAATTGCGTTGTGTAGTGAATAGTATTAGGACTAATTAGTTGCTTGGTTGTTTTTTGTTTGATTATGGATTTTTGGATTTGGATTTCTAGTTTTTGTTATATTGGATTGAAATTAATTATATACAGAGAAAACATTATATGTTACCTTATATAGAGTATTACCTGACAGCAATATTTTTCTAATCTTTCTTATAACTTGTGGATTCTTGCTGCAAAGACTTGATATAGTTTTTTATATATTGGGCTGAAGTTAATTGTATTTCAGAGAGATAGTTCTACATTGGCCGAAATAGGTGGTAGTTGATAGAGATAAAGTCGGAACTATATGCTTTCCATTCATCATCAGTGAAATATTTTTTAGCCAGACAGCAACGTGCCGAAAAATTAAGAACTAACGTCTGATCATATATTCAATTTTTTGATTATACCTTGATTGTTTTTTAAAAAATCGATTGTTGGGTTTATACTATTAGATTTCTAGATCTCAGAATAAATGTTACTCTATAAAGAGCATTGTCCAGTTGCTCGCTGTTATTCAACTTCGATTATTAAGAAATATATTCAATTATTTATATATTTTTCATGTCAATTAATGTCAAATCAGTTTTCAATGACTATGTCTATAATTAATTAAAACATAATAATGTTTTGTATTTTTTTTTATTTAATTAAAAAACTTAACACATTTTTAATAACAATGAACAATGTTTACAAATATCTTTTTTTTTACATATAAGAATATAATTTACCCACGTAAATATTTATTGAATTATATTTAATAGTGACTTTTGAGTTGACTAATATTAATTTATTTTTTTTTTGATATTATTTACAAAATAATTGATATAGAATCTGTTCAAAAAACGGACCCATACTATAATATTTTTTTTTTTGTATGTTTAAGTTTAGTTTGCCTATATACATATAATTGTATATGTGTTGATATATCTTTCGCAACTAAACTAATATACATAAGTAAGGTAAAATGCTAAGGCAGTTAAGGAACAACAATTATTATAGGAACATACTGATCTGTAAATATCTTCATCTGCCCATAATAGTAGGCTCATCTGCCATAGCAATTTCATCAGTTGGGGCCTTACTACCCTTCTTCTTACCAGAATACCAAATGAACATAATACCACAAACGATGTTAACAGCAAATGTGAACCAAGCTAAGTAGACACCAAATCCATAACTAATAATTGGGAGATACATTATAAATGACACATAAAAGAAAATCAAATGAAATAAAATACTTACGTCAGTTCTGCACCATCCGGATATGAATAGAACAAATGTTCTTTTGTGTAATCTATTGAAGCGAACAGCACTTGTATTACTACAAGAGCTGTCGATGCAGACACCAAATGTATACCACCAGCAAGTCTCTTAAACATATAGCGTGGATTCATAAAAGTGTAGAAAGAAAAAACTGAACCCAAAGACATGACGAATACCGTAATGCAGGCGAAAGATGCTTGAGTACGTATATAATCTATTGTGAAGTACTTAAGTGAGTTTATATATATATGAATACAAAGTGATATACGAACCTAATAATGTATCATCATAAGCAGGTTCATTGCGCAG